ACCTCTAGGTTTACCTGAAAATACGAGTTACATCATCCTTGATTCGTTTAACTTCTAATACTTGTTAATCACCCTTGTATAACTTAAGACCAATAGGATTAACTTCTTATCATCTCAAAGGTAATTCCTTCTTGAATTTATGTTAACTAATATATTGCATGAACTAACGCGTGTGGATATGGGTTGTAATAGTAAGGATATCAGGAGAATATGTTAGACAGTAGAAAGAATGTTCTTGTGTATTTAGTATAGAGCAACAGATGTTTACAAAATGGAAAGGATCCCCTTTATATATAAGGGAGAATCCCAACATAGTACAAATGCATTAATTACGAAGATATGGGATGGTACAGCCATTTAATATCTTGATTTGTTTTGGACTAATCCACTAGGCTTTGTCATCTCTATTTATGCGTCTTAGGAACTCCCCACTTTTCCATCATAACCGCTGGTTTGTATTGCCTCGAGGTTGAGTGCCAATAGCCCTTCAGAGTTCAGCCTTGACCATAGCCTCGAGCTTTTGAGATGTGCTTACGAGCCATCTTAATGACGGAAGATTGGACCCTTCGATTTTACCGTATACATGGTCGCTGCAAATATATTCCTATTAACAAGTTCGGAGTCGAATCCTACAGGGAATTAACCTATCGATCACAGCTAATGGACTCATAGAAATTCACGTATTCAATCTTCAGAGATATTTGAGTAACAAATTGGGTGTTTATTGACTAAATATTACGTAATAAAAATGCAGTAATTAAAAACTAGCTATAAACTGGTTGTAAGCAAGAATGAGAATGGTCTAAGATTATTATTTCCCCTCTTGTCGGAATCCTTTCTGCTATGTTTGCTATAAATTTTCCTAAGTCTTCTCTATCGATCATGAGCACTCTGACTATCGTAACTCTCTGCCAAGTAATTACAATAATATACTAGACATATTCTCCTGAATTACGCTAGCTGGCCTTAGTTACAACTCACTTAGATCGCACCCAAGGTTTCGTTATCCCTAATCCCACCTTTAAGCCCTTCGTATTGATCCCTCATATATGTTAGGGGTGGTGTTGTTCAACAACTACCTAAATATACACTCTCTCCCGAGTAATTCATACTAAATAGGCACAACCGATTGAGGGCCTTTCAATTAACAACAATCACAATATAGTTGAACAAACAGAGAAAATACTATGGCAAATCTATATTAACATATCAAGAAATTCATCCTTCAAGAGGTTCCATCAAAACCCTAGATTAAGAGTTTAGCTACGCATAATTGTTCTCACAATCATAACATTAGAATTCATCATTAGTGATCAAAACAAGAGGAAGAAAGGTAAAACTCTATGCCGAATCTTCCACCTTGCCTCTTGCCTCTTCTTGCCTTCAATAATCCTTCAAAAACCTTGATACATTCTTTTTGGGCGAGCTGAGCTTCTTATAGGTTAAGGGAGTTGCCCCCGAACTTACGAATTTACCCCTGAAATAAAGTTCCTCGGAGTGACGAGCACGGCCTCGCTCGAACCGCGGTCAGACCGCGCATATTGCATTCTTTTCTGCCTGACGAGCGCGACCTGAGTGCGGCAGCGATTGGCCCGCGCTCATGGAGCTCAACTGTCTTCCATTTTTTCCTTCTTCTTTCACCCACGCTCACCTCTGATTGGCCTTCCTTGCTCCAAATTAACTCCAAACACTGTTTAATATCCTCATAATCAGGACTTGCTCCTGCAAAGCACAAAATTTATAATTAGAGCCATTTGTTGTCATTTAACCTTCATATAGCAATAAAGTATAGCTAAGTTGGGGCGTAAATGGTCGCTAAACTACATGAATATAGCCTATTATCACATGTTCCCTCCCAATAGTCCATGTTTTGCTTTTATTTGTCTTTATCTTGTACATATACCGTTAATTACACAGGTTTATTATGTAGGTGTCTTGTCATAGCGTCGTCACTACTTCGTCGAGTTTAGGCTCGACACTTACGAGTACATGGGATCGGTTGTACTCATACTACACTCTGCACTTCTTGTGCAGATTTTGGTATCGGCCCTAGCTGTCTGTGAGTTGGAGCAGCTTGGATTTGCTTATTCGCAGACTCCAGATCCGCATTGTAGTAGATATTGGATTTTTATGTTATTCTGCACTTGATTTTACTTCATTTTTGGTTTAATTGACTTTATCTATTGAAATTGAAAGAAATTGACTAAGCGGTTCTCTAACATTGGCTTGCCTAGCAAGTGAAATGTTAGGCGCCATCACGATCCCGGAAGTGAGAATTCCGGGTATCTCCATAAAATTCTGTATTACTTATACAACATTATTTTTTTTAAAACTAAATCTTGCATCACTAATATAATCTTCGTATAACCAACACCACATTGGTTTTTCGCATTAAACTCCACACAAGTACTTATACGAAATTTAAAACCAAACGATGGAATTCCGGTATAACTTATACGTTACATGCATTAGAATATGAAAAAAGAATATGTGTATTAGCAATACATGTATTATTAGTTCACTACATAGCAATCCTGCTTTATTATTTGTCTTTTAACAATTCTTACGTTATTTATTCATCGCATATTTAATCTCTATATATTTTAATCCTTGCATAACTAGACAATAACAAATGAATGTCATGCTTACTCATTTCCCTGTGAGAATTTTGTTACAGAGAATCATGGATTGTGCTTATGTATTTGCTTTTTTCATACCACTGCATTACAAGAACATGCACACTAAACAGAAAAAGTTAAGGCTCCATTTATTTATTTTTAAATATTAAGATGTCAAATCTGAATACATATTAAAATAATAAATGTGTATAAAGTTAAGACGTATAAATATAAATACATATCTGTAAATTAAGATATTGAATTAAAATTTAAATGCTGAATAATTAAAATTATTTGTTTTGTTCAGCATATAAATGTATAAAATTTGTCTTTTGGAGATGGCTGATGCTTGTGATTAGTGGTGGCTGTGATAACGTAATTGATGGTGATGATTGTAAATGCAATTGTGGTGATTTGGTAGTTATAGGGGTTGTAGTTGAGGATGGTAGTCGTGAATTATGGGTGCTAATAGTTGATAGTGTTGGACAGCGGCACATCATTGGGTGGCGGTGAAAGTGGATAGGGTGGTAGTGAAATATCGTCTTTGTAGATATCATTGATAACATGATAATATTATCAAGACTATTATTATTAAATTAAAAAAATGTACTTAATGTTTGAGAACTAAATGATTAAGATTCAAATTTAAAAATAAATACCCTTAGTGACTGAGATTTGAATGATTAAAATTTAGACTTTCATTAAGTACAAACAAATAAGTCACTCTCTTTAAAAAAGAAAAAAAGGAATTGGACAGAAGAAAGCAGGTTGGAGGGTGTTTACCCTAAAATTCAATTTATAGGCCAAATCAATTAAATTTGTATTTCAAGGCGGCAAACAATCGAATTGATTCACTTCCTCAGATGTAAAAAGTAGAATTGAATACCAACAATACCAAAAATAAAGAGCAAATATTGAGATCAAATGAAAATAAAGAAGAATTCTTATTGATTCTTCTTCTACTATAAGATCTTTTTCTTGCTCAGTAATAATTCAGTATATTAGTCGAAAGAATTCAAGAGTTTTTCAGATGGTTACAAAGTGGGAGAAATGGGATTTAAACAATAATATTTATCGTAATTGTCTCCTAATGTCTCGCTTGCACTTTAACTTGTTGTTTTGCATGTTACGCTTAAAGAATTTGTAACTGCTCTTTAATCCATTCTCTTGTTGACTCTCTAGTAGAGTTGATATCAATGATCGTCGTATCAACGATCTTGGCTCAATTCATCTCAAATTTATTCTTCAAATGACGTGCCAATCAAATTGATTGTTCTCGTATATCTAACTTGGCATCATCTGCCATGTGTCAATATTTGGATTTTCTATGTGATAAGTCCACTTTCTTCTAATATAGATCCCCCACACCACACACACTTTCTATATAATTATTGATGAATATTCGATAATTTATACAGGATTTGGGGGGAGCGTGTATGACACCCTATTTCTAAACCTTGGTGACATGGTCCAGAAGTGAAATATAATCCGCCATTTCTATTCAATGCTCTGTCATGACCCAAAATCCTACCAAATCGTAATGACAACCTAACTCATCCCTCTACGTAGGCCGAACAATAAATAGCAGAACTCGAATAAAAGATCATCAATAATCATTAAATAAGATTGTTGAATTCCATATAATATTCCAATGGTTGGTAGTACAAGTATACAACATCTGTTTGAAGTTTAATAAACAACATTATAAGTCCTAAACTACCATGAACAAATGGTAGCTTGAATCTAGAATGCTGGCACATCCTCAATCTGTGCTCGTATACATGTATTCTTGTATATGTTTTTCTGTGATTGGACTTGTTTCATTGTTTGGCAGCATGTTAATTTCCTGTACGGTTTATTGTGATTATTGGCACGTGAGTTATTCGTGCGGTTATTATGATTATTGGCACATGAGTTGTTCGTACAACAAGTGAGTTGTCCATTCGGTTATTGGTGATTATTGACACGTATGTTGTCTGTGCAGCATGTGAGTTGTGCGGTTATTGTAGTTATGACACGCGAGTTGTCGTTGAAGGTTATGTTGAACTGTGTGTCTTGAATTGTTATACATGTATATCTTCCCTATATGCACTATTGGCCTTACCTGTACTCTATACCTAGTTTTGGTTACTGTTATTGTGTACATATTTTTACATAACTATACAAGTTTGACTAGTGACACTATAAAAAATCGAAATTATTGTGGTGGTTATATTACGGCGGTTCCAAATAACCGCCACAAAATATAATTAAAAATGACGTTTTACCATCGAAGTAAATTTTTTATAGCAGCGATTATTTCGTATTGTGGTGGTTAGAAACGCCCTAATATTTTAATCAAAATATTTTAACTATTCTTTTAATAAGTTTTAGTATTTCCCCCTCACATTTTGAGACTCCCTCCAGAATTTCCCCAATTCCTTTCCCTCCATAAGTCTCGTATATCTTTCCCCCAATTTCTATTTCCCCCAATTCCTTCCCCCGATTCATACTTATTGAAGGCTGTTGGAATGTAAAACTCACAATCTCCAAACAATTGCAGCTAAGGTAATGCATTCCCCTCTAATAACGCTTGAAACATTTACAGTTTAACACAAATTGAACTCCCAATTTTCTTACTTCAGATTCTTCTATTTCTCCCAATCTGTTTCTCCGGCTAGAAGAATCGAGATTCAAATTAGAAAAAGTACATGAAATTCATTTAGCAGCTTCAATAATCTCAGGTAATGTAGCGATTAGGGTTCATGTTTAGTACCAAAAGTTCTTTTTCTCTTTAATAGGGTTCATGCATGTAGCGATTTTTTCCAATTTTGTTCTAATTGTTTTTCCTCAGTCCGATGATCTATGATTCATTCAGTCAATTAAATATATAACATCCAAAATAGTAATATATTACTAGAAAAACATTAATTTTCTAATGGTTTCAGTTCTTTTTTTTTTGAGTCCATTTTTTGTTATTTTTCTGTTCAATTAGTTTGGTACTTCTTTAAATGTTTGCTGATTTGTTTGGTATTTTGATTGCATGCACTTAATTTTGATATTTTAATTTGTTGTTATTGCTAATATTAACCTAAATGTTATATATGGGCTTGATATGTAGTTGAGAGATCAAAAACTGTTGGTGAAGCTATTGGGATCGACGTTGACAGTAAAACATTTGAGAGGTATCAGTTTAATTTTGTCCTTTCTTTTGAGCAAATTTCTTTTTATTAAAAAGTAGATTGATTATTTCATTTGTCACTAGCGGATTAGCAGAGCTTTCTGCTATAATAGGTTCAACTTATCTATCAAACGGTTACCAATTGTATAGGTAGAAAGATATGCCATCCAACTGTAAGAATCTGAAGTAGTAAGTTAACTGTTTGACACTGTGTATGAGAAATTTTTTTTAGAGAAAAACTTAGTTCAGATTAAGTGGATATATTCACTAATTATTGCAGGTTATGTTTTTCCTTAGGCATTATGGATTTTGAAACTAAAAGCAAAAATGCAGGAATAATCTAAAGTTAAACTTTAACTGTACAAGAAACCTAAGTAGTACTTTCGTTTCTTGTGAACCCAGACATTTTGAATACTGTATCAGATGACCTATTTTAGCAAATGGTCCAGCACCACATGCTAGAAGGTTTACATAATTTAATATCAACGGGTTCAAATTTCGAACTTTAGAGCGAGAGAATGGATTGACAACTCAAAACAGTGGAGTATTTTTGACTTCGTCCACATCTTGTATTGCTAGTGGTGCTGATAGAAACCTGAGGCAAGCAGATTTGCCATATTATGGATAATTAGAAGACATCATTGAACTTAACTACTATGGTCGATTTCGGGTTACACTATTCAAGTGTAAATGGGCTGACACAACTAAGGATAGGGGGTTTAGAACAGATGCATGGGGATTTTCTTCTGTTAATTTTTCACGATTGATTCATACTGGCGATCGTAAAGAGCATGATCCATACATTGAAGCTTCATAAGCTCAAATGGTATATTATGTGGACGATGAGGTGAATAAAGGTTGGAGTACTGTTGTTCACTTGAAACCAAGAGACTTATATGTTATGGGAGGAGAAGAAGATAATGAATTTCCTAAGAATGAGCCATTCCCGGTGCAAGACTTAGATCAACACTTTGGGGATGTTAATGATCTGCTTTTGTGTAGGGAGGATGAAATTGATGAAATATTAAGTGATCACGATATTGAAAATGAGATTGGCGAAGATGAACATATCTGAAGAGTCATTGCTAGCCCTTTTCACATTTTAGAACGAAGCATCTTAATATATTTTCGTTTCAAATTAGTTCAGATTATAGCTATGTCCTTTTTTGTTCTTGACTTGCTTTATGTTGTTACATCTAGTTACTTTCTTTCATTAATTAAGCTTAAGTTATTTATTTTTGTCTTGAAGTTTAAACTATTTTGATATCAAAGTTTTCTTGTTTTGCTTTATATACCTTTATGTATGTAGAGATGCCGAAGCAAAATAAGGTTAAAAATCAATTCAAATCAGTCAAAGAGAGATCTTCACTTGTTCCGAGGGAGTCATCACAGGCTCAAGCTTCATCTTCAACATCTTATCGAGTCTCTTTACATTCTACACTGCCTACACAACCTACACAGCCTGTTATTTCAGTTGATGGAGTCTCTTCGCAACACGGTGTTCCATCATCATCTGATGGAGTCTCTTCGCAGCATGTTGTATCATCTTCATCATCTGATGGAGTATCTTCTCAGCCCGCCGTTCCATCTTCATCATCTGGTGCAAGTCTCTTCACGACAAACTGGACGTAGTACTAGCAATGAAGAGCCTCATTGGTTTGTCGATGTTATAGGTACATATAAATTTCAAGTGATTGAGTATTCTTTTTGTTTTCCTCATTTAATGTTTTAACTTGACTTTATTTTGTTGTAGATAAACGTCAAGTAATAAAAACAATTAGATTGAAGGTTAAGGATGTCCATAATTTGGATAAAGGATTGCGTATAATTGTAGAATTTGATGAATATCATGCAGCAATTGGGAAATCGGCTGGCCTAATTGCTGGAGTTTTAGGGCAGCTAGCAACAAATCCTATGTACTTTCCTATTGGCTTTGAGAAATGGCAATCCATGCCCAAATCTTTTCTGGACCGTGTTTTTAATGATATAATAGTGGTAATGCCATCTAAATTCTTTTGTTTAGTTTGTATCTTTTAGTTGTATATGTAAAAGTGCAGTAAATTAACTTTATATTTGTGAAGCCTCGGTTTTTTTTACGATTGATCAACAAAAGGCAAAGGCATGGCTTAACAGTTCCATTAACAAAAAGTGGAGGGAGTACAGGTTAAAACTATGGAAGGAGGCTGACGATCCATTATTAAGTAAAGAAGATATCATCAAGAACGTTCCGGATGGCATACCGATGGACCAATGGGCACTGTTTGTTACTTATCGCATGAAAGAGGAGACAAAGGTACTTTCTTTTGCTATTGCTACTTCTGCTATTGCTACTTTTGCTTCTTCTTCTGTTTCTGTTGCTTTTTTTGCTACTGCTTCTCTTGCTTCATCTGCTATTGTTGCTTTGATAGAGATGACTTTTGATTACATCACATGAAAATTTGGCATGCCAAATTATTTGGATAGCACAAACTTATAATTTGTTATACTATTACTATAATTATAATAGTATGATGAAGTAATAACAAATTCAAGGCTCAATTCTTCCTTTTTTGTGTCATTTATTTAAGTAATCGAATCCTATGGTATACCAAAACTTTTACTCATAAGCAGCGCGTGAGAGTGTCCGACTTGAAGACAGTACAGTTTGTTGATTTTGTCTTTTCATAAGCTGGAATATTATTGTTTCTTTGGATGATTTTAGCTTTATTTTGGTGGATTTATCATTTGGACTTTGAAGCTTTTCTTGAAACTGTTGTGAGGAAACAAATGTTAACAAAATTGCTGGAGCTATGTATATAGAAAAACTAATGAAACAAATGTTATTTGCTTCTTCTTTTGCTGGAACAAATATTAACAAGCTTTATAGTTTCTTCTGCTACTGCTATCTGGTTCTTCTTTTGCTTCTGCTACTGTATCTACTTCTGTTGCTTCTTCTGTTTCTGCTTCTTCTTCTCTACTACTTCTCTTGCTTCTGCTTTTGCTTATTTTGGTCTTATATAATAGAATTTCACCTATTTAATTTGTAGGAGCGTTGCAAGAAGAATGCACATATTCGAAAAAATCAACTTCCTCATACTTGTGGTGCTATGAGTTTGGCTAGAAGAAGGGCTGCAATGGTAGTTTAAGCGCTTAACTTAGATAAGATATATGTTCTCAATTAGTTACTAATATTATTCATTTTAAAAATTTCAGAAGGCGATGGGAAAAGCTTTTGATCGAGGCAAAATGTGGACTGAAACTCATAAAAGGAAAGATGGGAGTTATGTAACTGATGAGGCTAGGGTGATTGGGGTAAGTAACATTTTTGGTGCCTTCTGCTGTGAAATTATATTTTAATTTTAGATTGGTATTGCTTGTCTAGTGGGATTCCACAAATATTTTCACTAGCATTTTGATAGTCTGAGATGCATGATAGGTTGTTGGTGACAATATTTTTTGCTGTGAGTTTCGATGTTGATATATATGAAGTCATTTAGTACGGTTTTTTTGTGTTCTATGGAAATGAGATCTGCTGCTTCTACGGAAATGATATATATGAGGTGATTAGTGTTGTTATATTAGCATATTAGAGTTAAATGAGATCTACTGCTTCTACGGAAATTTTGGCTAGACCATATGGTATAATTTGCATTTCATTTTGGGATGTGGTGTTATGGATCTGTTGATGGTTTGATTCATGTTTTAGCTAGCAGTTTAATGTACAATTCTTGTCATTTCCAAGTTCCAAGCACCTTCATATTGCTCAGTTTATGCTTCTTCAATTTTTGTAGGAAGGAATTGAAGAAATTCGAACTGAAAGAGCAGAAAGTCTTGATGAACCTTCACCAAATGATGCACTTGGCATAGTATTCGGTCCCGAGCACCCCGCCCGTGTTCGAGGTTTAGGCTTGGGTGTAGTTCCAACTGTACCATTCAAACAGACATCTGCGAGATACCGTCGTGGTTATGTGGGTTCATCTAGCACTACCGCTCCAACTCCGGCGTGGCAGCAAGAGATGACAGATGTGAAATCAAAATTAAATGCACTAATTAGCTTATATGAAAGGAACATAGGGAATATCCCCGAGGAGTTTGCTCACTTATTTTCCACTCCTCAACAGGTATAAGTTCTCTTGCTACAGTAAAATTTTAGTTACTTGCTTTTCTTATGGTTATATGCCGCAACGTTATCGTATGAGTGCACTAATTTTACTAGGAAGGATAAATACAGTGCTTTGGCTGGAAATGATGGAACTGTGACAACAAAACCTGGACTTGCGGCCAAGAAAGTGATGGGCTGCTAATAGAGAAAAGATTGTGTGGGGTTTAAAATTTTTTAGAAGTTTTTACTTGTGGTCATGTTCCAAATTTTAAAGAGAATTAAACAGTTAACAGTTGACAAAAAAACAGAAATAAAATACAAAACCTCTCATTAAAGTGATTAGTCGTTTGGCTTCGATTCTTCTTACAAATAAACTATTATTGGTATATTTATCAGACTAAACAAGAGTCTCATAGTAAATCCAGTCCTACTACTTCAGCTTACCTGTTAACATTTTAGTTATTTGCTTATTGATTGTATTTTTTCTTCCTTTTTTTCAGGCACCAGATTTAGGAAGTGATGCACCATCAACAGTTGAACCAAGAAGATCTTTAGATGAAAGTAACAATGATGATCGTCCAAGTGTGAGTTAGTGATTATTTTATAGGATCAACTATGGATCTTTTGGATATTACTGTGGAAATACAATTTGAAGTATTAATATTTGGATGATGTAATTTTGGTATACTTGTGCAAGTGTGAATTTGTGATTATTTTGTTGGATCAACTATGAATCTTTTGGATATTACTGTTGAAATACACTTTGAAGCATTAATATTTGGATGATGTAATTTTGATATACTTGTGTTTTATATAATGAATATTTTTTCTTTTTTAATATTCTATATTGGGTTTAATTGATTATGAAGTGCTACAGAATTTTCAAAGCATAACATTCAATAAATAGGACTCTAAATGTGAAAAAATAGGATTGTGAAAAGGCTGAAGCAGAAAAAACACATTATGGCGGTTTAAAACCGCCTTAATATGCAAAAATAAAAGCCACATTAAAACTGTTAAAATATGGCGGTTTTCACATGTAATTACGGCGGTTTGCCCAGAAATGCCATAATATAATTTTGGCGGACGGGATTGTGGCGCTTTTAAAAGCCGCCGTTAATGTGTATTATGGCGGTTTCAAACCGCCATTATATGCTAAAATAACCGCCGTAATAATCCCGTTTTCTTGTAGTGTGAGTATTATAGATCTCTCTCGCCACTACCTCACCAAGGTTAGTCGTGATACTCGCTAAGTACATGAGATTGGTGGTACTCATACTACACTCTGCACTTAATTGTGCAGATCTGGAAGTTGGATCGAGCTGAGCTTCAGAGATTGTGTTGCTGCTATAGACACCTGAGGTAGAGCTGCATCCTGATCGCAGTCCCTAGTATCTCCTTCTATCATTTTTATTACTGTATTTGATTAAGTGTATCACATTTTCATATTTGTACTCATATGTTATAGCTCATGACTTAGTGTTACCAGTTTCTAGGGGATTATGTATTGATTTGATTTCTAATTATAGATATTTGATTTCAGTTGCGTTAATTCTGCAATTTATTATTATATTTTCATGATGTCTATTTATTGGTTTACTTAGCGAGTGGGTTAGGTGTTATCATGATCCGTGGGGTATTGATTCGTGACAGTTGACTCCTTAGTGGAGCCGATACCAACGATCCCGATATCAATGAGCTTGGCTCAATTGATCTTGAATTGACCCTTCTAATTCATTGATTTTTTCGCGTACACAACTTGGTATAGTCCGCCATGTTTCGGTATAGGGGTGGAAAAATGGGTAAAACAAAATAAGTAACCACTCATATTATCCGCTAAAATATGGGTTAAATAATGAATATTTTAAAAACGGATTAAATACGGATATTACCCATATTATCCATATTTTAAATGGGTAACCACTAGTTATCCATGGGTAATAAGGTCAAAACCTCCCTCTAAAAGCATTTTCTCCCCCTTTACCCCAAAAGCATCATTGAATCCAAAAGCATCACTGAGTCATACGCGTTATATAGAGGGGAGGTAGACAACTTTTGAATTGAAAAGGAAAATAGACATTGGTTATCGTGATTATATAACGTAATAATTCCATTATAAAATCTGGTAGTACAAATTTTGGTTTGCTTATATTTTTTTTTCTTATAAAATCTGGTAGATCCAATATAATTTTTTATATTAAAATTTTGTATCACATACGCCGTGTGATAACAATCACGATTAATTAAAGAGAAAAATAAGTGAAATAAACAAAATTGTTCATATGCCAAAAGCCCTTTCTAGTTTTTTTCTAGAAAAGATTAAGATTTAAATTAGAAATTATAATTTATCTAGTTTAAGACTAAATGCACGTTCCAGAATATACACATCATTTTTAATTTAATGCAATGCATTAAACAAATTATAAGTACTAAGTAATGAGAAATTATTAATTTTAATATTACAAACAGGCTATATATTATAAATCATAACATTATCATGTTTGCTAGCTGTAACTTGTATCTTCCTCCGTTTTGCTTGATGATCAAGTGGGTCACTGAACAGTTGAGGCTAATGTGAAGCCATGAACGGATAATACGATTAACCGCTTTATCCGTATTAAATTTGGTCCGGGTCGAATATTTTACCCGTTTTTTATCCGAACTGTATCCGACCCGATCTGCCCGTTTGCCACCCCTATTTCGGTATTTAATTCGTCCACATGATAGGCCCACTTTCTAATAATACAGAGAGAGCTGGAGATGTATCATGTGATTGCATGCTTTAATTTTCCATGATTGGCGATAAAGATTGTTTTACCGATACTTTTGTGTCTACTCTCGCAGTTTGCATGAGAAAAAGAATATGATCCCATAGTATTCCTCAAGTAACATGATCCAGGTATTTAAATGTTCGGATAAAATATTGTATTTGTTATAAAATAAAAGCAGTGCAGTAAAATGTAAATAAGAAGAGATAGAAAGAAGGGAGAAGTGTTTTCTTCTTTCACTTTGGTGTATCTTTCCATTGCAATTACATAGCCTTTTATAGGCATAAAAAGTAAAGATGATGGACATAAAATAGGAGATTTAATCTTTAAGCTATTCACAACATGGGCATCCAATGTAGCATCCAATGTACAAACTATGTTATTCACAACATGGGCATCAAATGTAGCATCCAATGTACAAACTATTTATAACACTCCCCCTTAGATGTCCATGTAAGATAATGTGCCTCATTAAGAACTTACAAAAAAAATATTGGGATGTACATAGTTATTTATAATATGCATTGCTTGCTGCCTCATTAAAAACCTTACCAAGAAAGCCCAGTGGGACAAAACCTTGGTTAAGGAAAAGAGTGCAGCGTGTAGTTACTCCCCCTGATGAAAAATCACTTAATGTCTCGAAGACAATGCATTCCAATTTTATATATCAGCTTTTCAAATATTGAGGTTGGTAATGCCTTAGTGAACAGATCAGCCAAATTATCACTTGAACGAACTTGTTGTACATCTATTTCACCATTCTTCTGAAGATCATGAGTGAAAAAGAATTTCGGTGAAATGTGTTTTGTTCTATCTCCTTTGATATATCCTCCTTCCAATTGAGCTATGAATGCAGCATTGTCTTCATACAATATTGTTGTAATATTCTATTTCGAAGAAAGACCACATGTTTGTTGAATGTGTTAAGTTATCGATCTCAACCAAACGCATTCTCAACTTGCTTCGTGAATGGCTATTATCTCTGCATGACTTGAAGAAGTAGCAACCATAGTTTGTTTTGTCGAATGCCATGATATGGCTGTACCTCCACTTGTAAATAAATAGTCTGTCTGAGATCGACCTTCGTATGGATCAGACAAATATCCTGCATCTGCATAACCAATCAATGATGGCTTGGATTCATTTGAANATTGAGACGTATTATTGATATCTCTTCATTCTCATTATTTTCAGGTACCTGGACCTCCCCTAAGGTCTTATCATTTGTTACATCTTGGGGCTCTTCTTGAGCCACTACC